CGGACTCCTGAGCTCCGTACGCGCTGGAGCCGTCCCTATGATCACCAGCGAGCCGCCTGCGAGGATCCAGTGGCTATCCAGCGCTGGTTCGACTTAGTCCAGGCGACAAAGCAGAAGTGGGGTATTGTGGACGACGATATCTACAACTTTGACGAAACTGGCTTTATAATAGGCAAGATTTTATCACAGTTAGTTATCACAGGCTTAGAAGGATATATGAAAAAGAAACAGGTACAGCCAGGCAACCGTGAGTGGGTTGCTATGATCCAAGGCGTGGGCGCGTTAGGTCGCCGAATACCACCCTTCGTTGTCTTTGCGGGCAAGGTGCTTATCAACGTCTAGTTTGAGGATTTGCCTGCTGACTGGGTTCTTGAAGTTAGTCCTAATGGCTAGATAAATAATTAGCTTGGTCTTGCCTAGTTAGAGCACTTTGATACCTATACAAAGAGGCATACTATAGGTGGATATTAACTGCTTATTATTGACGGCCATAAGAGCCACTGCTCCATCGATTTCCAAGATCTTTGCAAGGAGAAGAATATTATTCTTCTCTACATGCCTCCACACTCGTCTCACCTGTTGCAGCCCCTTGACGTCGCCTGCTTCTCGCCGTTGAAGCGTAAGTATAGCGACGCTGTTTCAGGCTTAGCACGCAACCGCACCCACTATATCAGCAAGGAGACCTTCCTACCAGCCTTTAAGGCTGCTTTTGAGCAGTCTATTACAAAGGAGAATATCCAAGCTAGCTTTAGAGGCGCTGGTCTAGTCCCACATGACCCACAGGCTGTGCTATCTAAGCTTGATGTAGTGGTGCAGACGCCAGTACAATCACCACGACGGACAGCCGCCTGGCAGGCGCAGACACCACGCAACGCGCGCGAGGTTGAGGCTCAAAGTACTCTTATTCGACAGAGAGTAAGAAACCGCCCTAGGTCTTCTGCAAATTCTCTTAACGAGAGGGTTGTACAGCTAAGTAAAGGGGCTCAGCAAATAGCACATGAGATGACGCTTATAAGGGAGGAAGTAGCTGCTCTTCGAGAGGCT